AAGTTTTCCCTATTGTGGTAATCAAGATATTTCCAGTTAACCACTGGCATGTCATCTACGCTCGTGACTTACTGATAAGATCCTTCTGTTTATACAGGTGGGAGGTATTAGGGTTTTTATTCTCCTAGACCAAAGCATTAAATTATCCCTTTCTCTTGCTATTTGACCCACCTGTCTGCCTGAGGGTACTACCCCTCTGAGATGGACAACCCAAGCAAGCAAATACCTGCACCTCAGCCCCTGCAGTGCACAGGTCAGTGTAAGAACTCACACATTCTCCAGCAGCTTGAGGCTTTCCACCACGCAGTATGCCAAATAATTGTTCATTGAAGGGTGTGATAGCTAGAATACTAAGCATTGCGTTTAGGTCTAGGAGTAGGGCTCTCTTAAATGCACGGAAAATGCTCTGATTTTAATTTACAGATTATTCTGATGCAGATCAGATCAAGAAGGGTGCATCAGTACCCTATGAATATTAAAACAGTGACTACTGCTTATGATCAGTCTGAATTGCAAACCTGAAAAACTTTCACTAATGATGGTCATTCTTTGGGCATCTAGCATGGCAACTTACACCTTTGTGATCCTGGCATCTCTTTCAGGGGAAAGGTTACTCCTCAGAAAAACCTTATAGGCTTTGAAATAGCTAAGCATTCTTTCAGAGTATTTAGACAGTTCAGATGTTTGCTGCACTCCCTTCAAATGTATAAAAAAAGTCCATCACCTAAAGAGCATCGAAACCCTAAGCAATGTAGCTCCTGGAGACCAACATTTAACAATGCATAGCATTAGCAGTGTAGGTAAATGGGGTATGTTTCTGAATCCTTCTGTTGTTTGAAATAAATACATCCATCAAAAAATAAGCTAGAGGCAGATTAATGGAATAAAAGATCCCTGTGGGAGTTGTACATCTTCAGGGATTAAATTCCTTAGCCTACAGAAACTGATCCGCTTTAGAAGTGGAGGGGACCAGCAGAAGGAACACAACTGGTATACTTGTTCGGTGAACACTTGCGAAGATTAATAAGAACTTTACAAACGGATTAAAGAAGAAGTATCAATGAAGTCTAACCAAAGTAATTTTCTCAGTTAGCCCTTTACTAAAGAATCAAAACCCAAGTTAAATTTAAAAATTGAAACAGTTTAACCTATGTTAAAACTTGAAAAGAGAATAGTATTGCAAATATAGAGGGAAACCCTTATTCCATCCAAGACGTAAGAAAGCAAAATACGGGTTTAAAAAAAAAATTCCAGAAACTGACATCTGGTGAATAAAAACCAACAATACCAGTAAAAGTGGAGAGGAACTGAAAAGATTTACATCTGTTTTCAACACTGTAAAACAAAACTTTGGAGTTTGCACCCCTGTAGGATGTGACGTCTCAAACAAATCAGACAGGCCGTTTAACCAAATCCATTATGAAATACATTCAAATGTAAAAAGTTAGAACATACCCAAGTATTATTCATCGTATTATGCAAACATCTAAAATGCAAAATTTGGCTCGGCAAGTCGGACAAGGCACTTGGCTCGACAGCCAGGTCTCTGGGTGCTGCTGATCCTGTCGGCTGGCAAACCATTTGCCCATGCAGGTGAGGCACCACATGGGACGACAGTAGCATTGCTGGCATTCCCCGTCGTTTGGCTCCTGGCAGTTCTTGATGAGCTTGATGTTAGCGATAGTCTGCATACACCCTATGCATGGCTCCAGCTCCTAAAGGAGGAGAAAAACATCAAAATTATGAACTGCACAGAATGGTTGCTGTTATTGCTCTTCAGAGGCTTTTAGAAAATTATCTGCGCACAAGCATTGCAGAGCTTGAAGCCAGAACCTGAGCCGGGCAGAGCCTCAAGGCAGAACTGCCCCACCAGAAGATACCAAATGGTTTCAATCTCCAGAGCTGTGTTTCATCAGAACACCCTCTAACGAATGAGAACGAAGTATCTCTTTACACAGAAAACCCAGAACTGCTGCATGAGACTGATTAAACAAAAATGACTGAAAATAAACGCTCTTTCTCTCTCTGAAGAGCTCCACCTGTTTCCAGAGCACAGCAGCCAGAGCAAGGTAAGCAAGCAGCCATCTTTATCATTCAGACATACTATTTTTCAAAAAACATACCAATATAAAGTAAGGAAAATAAACAAAGCAAACAGTTCTTACCACTTATTACGGCAAATGGCTGTTCCTATCTTCCATCTTTGTAAGTAAGAGACACAAATAACAGAGGAAATCAGGGCTCTACTGAACACAATGGGTACTCATCTTGAAGGACCAGAAATTTACTTAATTTTTCTTGGATAATATTGGAATAATTGATATTTCCCCGCTGTTAATTATGCCACATGAACTTGTAGTTGCATATATGGAGATCATCTTGCTATGAAGTGTTTTACAATTAATAAACAATAGTTAGCATTTCCCATGTATCTTCCAGCCAAAGCTCTCCAAGAACTTGACAAAGTTCAAAAGACAACACACTGAACAGGCACGGAGACCTGAATCCTATTCATACTGCTATTGGTGTAACAAAAAGCAGCTCTGCTTTGTGGTCTCTAGTTCCCACCTCCAACATCTCTTCCCTTGTCAGCTCAAGTGTCTGTTCAACCACGCTGGCAGCTTGACTGTGGAGCAGATCATCTTTCTTTGCCTCTTTTCACCCCGATCATTTCCCCCAACCAGGTTCACCGCAGACAAAGTCTTGTGTCAACATGGGGATGAGGAGAGTGCAGGAAGCAGGACTGCATCTTTCAGAAGCTGTATCAGCTTTTTGCTTGTGAAATTAGGGCTTACCTTAGTTTTTAGGCAGGAAAAACTCTAGCATAGACAGGTTAACTAACTTTTTCAACTTACTAATGGAGCTTCAGAACAGGGAAAAATCCCATGTTCTATTTTTAATGTCCGTATCATAATTTCTGATGTTATTTATCACTCAATGTCAAACCAAAATATGGTTGCTCAGCTGTCACTTAAATGTATCACAAATTTAAAGCCCTGCAAGAAAGCAACTCTCTCAAATGAATAGTATCTTCTCTTTGTTTTGAACATCTCTTTTCACTATACACTGGCACTGCAATCAGAACGCACAATTACATTATGTGCAGACATATCTGATCTAGTTTTATTTTAGCTAGTTCATGTAACCGTGCAGTGAAGACACCGTATAAGCTGCATGACACTACCGAAGATAGCAAGTACTCACTCCACCGGCTGGAACATCGGACATACAGACTCACTGCAAGGTCACCAGAACTAGTTTAATTAGTTACCTCTGGTACATTGAACAGTGCTCTAGTCACACTTCCGATTGCAGCACAAGCATAATAATGACCAGGTCTCCGCAAATATTACTGAAGGAAGGACTCCATGGTGTTATTTGCAATTAAAGCAAGCCCCGATTAAGAATCATTAATTTATTTCAGCAGAAGATCCAGCAAAACCTGGCAGTCTAGAAAAGCAAGCTCTAATGGAGCAAACTGCCTAAAGAACAGTAACAGCAACTGTGATTCTAGCTCCCCATAAACTTTCTGGAAATGTAACCTCATGATTTCCAAATGTTTTCAAGTAAAATTTTTGTGGAAATAATTATAGGGGACTATCTTCCATTCTGCTATTTCTCATGCCTCAAAAATGTAATGTTCACAATACAGTTCATCTTCTCACAGAAGGAACAGAAGAAGCAGCCAGAACTACATTTATTACATGTTTACTGCAATGGAAGGTGAGCCCTTGTGATGTATGCACCCACTCCGACCGAGTGAACAGCACTTTGGTTCAGGCATCACCGACAAGTGGGCCTGACTGGAGTCAGCCCTGCTCTGCGGACCTTGAGAAATTGTGCTAGGCCATATCTTCCCAGGAAGTTAAGGAAGTTAGGCTATGTCTTACAGGAGCTAATGGTGCCAGCCTGAGCTGGAACTAGACGAAACTAAAACTGCTACCGCTGCACACGCTCACCAAAGGGGAATGTGACTACAAGTCAGTCACTTCACGCTATAAATATCTCTAGCCCCCCTGAGCCCATTGAGCTCTCCTGAACGGCAGTGGGCTGCACAGCAGGGATCTCCCCTTGGGTTGGACACCTCTCAAGATTACTCCTCGAGGTCAAGAGATCCCTTACCTGGCATCTGCTATCTACAGCAAGGTAAGCGACATTTTATATTAGGTCTAAAGCATACTGTTTATCAGCTAGCTTAATTATTAGAAGTGCAGTAAGTAGTAGAGTGTTTGACTGCCATTTAATTACCATTTAATTACTGTTTAATAATTATTAACCATCATTTAATTATAATTTAATTATTGTTTAATAAAACCTTTTGGTTAACCCCACAACTTCTTTTAATAATTCACCTGCAACAAAAATTGGCATAGTCAGCAGGGTGGCAGGTTCAGTCACTGACTACTTATGGAGGCATGGAGTTAGCTCTTCACTGAAATTTTCAGAAGATCGGGCACGTGAAAATTAGGATAATTGGAATAAGATAGAGCAGTTAAACCTCACAAGAGGGAAAATGAAAGATGGTAAATAAAAGGGAATAATATGCAAAATGTTGGGAACATGTTTGGAAGCAGCCTGTCAGTATAAGGAATGCAAGGAAAGGGAAGTGCAAATGTTACACAATGAGACTGAACAAAGAAAGCGACAAGAAATGCTGTTATCTCTGCAAACAGACAGAATTGCTGAAACAACTGGGGGAGGAAAAAGAAAAACAAAGGGAGGTAGAGGATACACTAGAACTCATGATTACTTGGGCCCCCCACCCCCCAGATGCTGTAAAAATCTGTAAATTAATCATATCCCTGGAAGACTGTGATGGAGATATTTGGGAGGACCCCGATCAAGAACTTAGTGAGGAGAGTGAATTAGATGAGTAACAATATAAGGTAGCCCTGGATATTAAAACTGAGGTATCTGCTGGACTCCAAAGGGGCAACCAGAGAAACACCACAAGGACATTCCATGGGACCCCCTTCAGCTGGCCAATCTGCAAGAGAAATACGGGTGGAAGCCTGGCGAGAGTGAGACTGAGTATCTGTGGCATGTCTCCTTTACTGGAGGAGACCTTATTATGATAAATCAAGGCGAAACAGATGGCTTTTGGGGACCAGGAGTGTTCTTGAATGAGGGACCAGATCCTAACACTGAGCCACACTGTCACATGCGAGTGGTGTATTGGGCAGGGGGCATAGACCCTCGGGATAGAGGGGAGCCCACTGCTATACCAATAAGATCATTAAGTGAACTTTCTACTGCCGTTACAAAAGCAGCCTGCCTTCAGGCTATGAATGACGGGTGCACATGGTAATTACCCTATTGCTGCCCCTGTAGACCCTCAGGCTATGAAACCACTGATAAGGGGAGCCCCTGCTATCTTAAAACCGTACCTCATTGCAAAAAGGGATGAAATAAGACAAAACATAGAGCATAACACTCAGGAGGGTCAGAACGGCGAACTCCGCCTTCGATCCATCTCAACCTGGGCAGAACTTTGACATTGTTGCATGACATTGTCAATCACGGTCGAGAGATGGGGTGGAACGAACCGACACCAACTGGGCAATCCCGAGCTGAAGCAGACAGCAGACGGATCTGGCAAGTAAAAAAGACTCCCCAGAACCCCCAACACCTTCCCCAACCTCATAAAACCCCTGGTGAGGTAGTGGACCCCTGAAAAAGGTGTAACGAACTATGGAGAGAAGCCTTACCGCTAGGCATACCTCAGGTAGCCATACAGGGCCAACTGTTGGGGACTATACTTAGTCTGATCAAGGTGTTCCAAAAACAAGGGGTATCAGGGAATCTGGAACAAACCAAACAACTGTCCGCCCTCAAAGACCCTGAGAATAACCGTTTTAGACCTCTTACGTAGGAATTGCAAACCTTGAAGCCAAAAAAAAAGAGTATGTCCCAGACAGCAACTTGGGCTGCCTGTCCGGAGGACTGAAACTTACCAATGGGATAACACAGACAGCCCTCACATTGATGTCCCAGTCAGCCCCCAAAGACAGCTAGTAATTTTTTTAATTGACACAGAAGCTCAAATTTCAATAATCTCAAGTTTGGATGCCCAAAGAACTTACGTTAAGCCCAGTCAATGGAGGGTTAAAATAACAGGATTTACCAGCAAAAGTAAAACGTGCCCCATAGCTAAAGTAAACTTGTTATTGCCAGGGCAGAAAAGGATATCAAAGCACCAATTAGGAGTAGTTTCGGGGAAAGAAAATGTGTTAGGCTTTGACGTATTACAAGTTTGGAAACTGCCGGATGGTAGTGTTTGGTCTTTTGGCTGCCTGGAGTGCCCTCGGTTAGCTGAGCAAAAATTAGCAGCTACTTGTGGGCATCAGTGAACTGGTGTAGTTCACTTACTGTGAGCTGCACCCACGCTGCCTGACTCAAAAATAACTAACTTCCCTCAGTATCCTAGCTCTGCCACTGTCTGGATGGGTATTGCAGAGGTCATAGGTGACCTAGAAAAAAAGACACATTATCTCCCAAAAGCACTCCCCATATAATTCCCCAGTGTGGCCAGTTAAAAAACCAGACGGGAGGTGGCGTCTAAACATAGACTATAGAAAGTTAAATGCAAACACTGCCCCTCTCACAGCCACCATCCTGAACATTCCTACATGAACTGCCACCCTCCAGACTGCCGCTCACCCCTGGATGGTGGTACCAGATGGGAAAGATATGTTTTTTATGGTGCCGTCGCAGG